TGAAAATCTGGCATCCCTTTGCTTTTTGTTCTTGGTCATAGAAAGAAAAAAATTTATCAAAAAGGTACATTGGGCTATAAATTATATGTATCAGCGGACTGCAAGCAATTGGCACAGAAAATTACCTGTTTAGAAATTAGTTACTCCACAATTCGGCCCAATTATCAATGGAAGACAATTTATTGTATATATCTAACAAGCAATCCAGCATAACAATTATAGTATATCCTTGTTTTGATTTTTAGAAGTTTCCTTTTTATTTAAAAGTTTCTTAGGAAAGTTTTTAAATAAAGTTAACTGTGTTAAAAAGTTTGTAGGTAGAAAAAGTTCTAATAACTGAGCAACAGCTGGTCTCCGGCTGAAGGTCATGTAAATAAAATAGTCCTTTGATGCTTAGGCTTTAGCTAATAGAAATGCACTGGCGGTTATTCACTGTTTTAAATAATTGTCTAAATAAAAAAATAAGTAACTTTAATGTTAGGTCTGGTTTATTATCTACTAACCTTGAAAGCTGCCGTCTAGCTAAGACCTGTAGGGGCCAGTAGTCTATGGGAAACATAATATACTAATTGTTTTTGCTTTACACATGATAATGTATTTCCTTATTATTATTACTAATAATAAATAAAAAAAAACCTACTGAGTCTCTCGGCAGAAAATACTAGCACCTCACCAAGTGTCAGTGTCTCCTCATTCTACCTCATCCCCTTCCCCTCAGCCCCTAAGTTTCAGATCTTTCGTTTTCGCCGACGCCGTCTCATCCTTTCAGGAACCCCTGACACGACGTTTTGCCGGAGGCTGGTCCCCGGCACTGCTTGTTGATTTTGATTTTTACTTTATTGTAATTAGATTTTTTCCTGGTCCCTTATTTGGGTTTTCTAATTTCCTGCTATGAGTGAGATCATCCGGTATTGTTCTTTTTCTTTCTGGCTTATTTCACTGAGCATGATCCCTTCCAGCTCCATCCATGTTGCTGCAAATTGCATGTGTTTATCTTTTTTGAATGCTGAGTAATATTCCATTGTGTATATGTACCACATCTTCTTGATCCAGTCAGCTATTTTTTGGGCATTTGGGTAGTTTCCACAGCTTAGCTATTGTAAACAGTGCTGCTATAAACATAGGGGTGCAGGTGCCCTTTTGAATTAATGTTTCTGTGTCCTTTGGGTAAATACCTCAGAGTGCAATTGCTGAATCATATGGAAGCTCCATCTTTAGCAGGTTGAGGGCATTTTGATAGGTGGGGATTCTGTGGGCTTCCAGAGAATGTGGGCTTCCTTCTAAATGGTCTGAGGGGTTAAATAAAACCATTCTGAACATCAAGTGCTAAAAGCAGCAGGCAGCCTGTTTTGTTGACACCATTTCTAAACCCATGGTGGAGAAAAGGCAGCCATCTTTTTTCACCTATTCTGAGTGTTTCTCTTGCCTGAATTGTTTTAACTTTGCAAGCGCCAAATAAGGGACTTTTCATTCAAGGTAGGAGCCATGACTGTTTACATGACATCACTCTTTCTCACATAATATATTAAACAGGCCCTTTAGGCCTGAGTAGGAAACAGCCAAATTCTCCCTCTGGACCAGCATCTGCGGCTCTCATGGAAGCCAGGGTAACTTGGCTATTTGACAGCTGGGGGCAAGCTTCACTCTTCAGCAAGGAAGTGATACATATCTAATCATGTCCAAGACTGGAATGCAGTGCTCTGTCTGATAAAGAGTCAGTGGAGGAGCATGAAGAAAATGGCTTTAAACCCAAATCAGCAAATACTTCTCATCATACTAGTTTGCAAGGTAACCTTTGAGGAAAGGCCACAGGCCTCTCTCTGGAGACATTCAAAATCTCTTCTGGTGAGCCTCCAATGAAGCCTGGGCCAGAAGATCACTCTCACAACTGTTAATACAGTGATATTTCACTCTCAGTCACTCCGTGGGAAGATGCATAGAGGGTTTCAGAGCAACAAATTACTTTCAAGTTGTACTTTATCATTTCATTGTTCCCATGTTACAGACAGATATATTATGGTAATTGATCTTGATCTGGTACATATATAGATTTATTATGCACCGTCTTGTTCCAGAAAGAATGTTCAATGACTAACGTGTGGTCCTAGGCACTGTCCCACATCCCCATAACACTTAAAAAAATATAGTATCCTTTCACAATAATTTTGTGATAATAAAAAATATTGAATGTAGTCTTTACATAGCTGAAGTTGAAAGCAAATCAAACCTAAGGCATTCAAACCCTCCAATTTTTCATTTAAAACAAATCCCAAGGTGACAGAGCATCTCCTGGGGGGGCCCTGAAGCCTCTGAGCTGCCTTTTCTGAAGAAGTCCTTTGGAACAGCTCTAAGTGGGAAGAGGAGGGGCAGAGAGTGATAGATTCCATGTCCTGACTAAGTGAAACATGTAGAAATGGCTACAAATAAGGTATCCTATGGTGGGTTTTAATTATCCCCACCTCCCAGACACCCTAGCACAGAGTAAAAATGACTTCACACACCCCTAGGCTCAAAAGAAATCAAGTGACGAATGACAGCAAAACAAAACAGCTCACTAGATCCTAAAAAAAGAAATCTGTAATTTGAAATGGAAGAAGTAGGTGGGAGTGACAGTGACATGTCTCCTGCCCTCTTCCCCATACCTCTATACCTCCCCCACTTTGCCCCCATAGTTTCACTTCCTGTGAGAACTCTGGTGCATATCTCACATTCAGGTCGTGTTGAGCCCTGATAATCCAAACTTCGATTTCATGCCCACTAGCAAGTGGTTCATGGCCATGTCACTGGAACTGAGATGTAGAGACCTACATGGAGGATACCTTCAGATTCTGGTTTCACACATATGGAGGTATTCTAGAAGACTAAGCTCTTTTGGCCTTTTTAGAAAAGGCCAAGATTTCCCGTCTGACACTCAAGACCTCTACAGTCTTGCCCCAACAGGCTTCCTCCACCCCTCCCCCATCCCCACTCTCACCTTCCTCAACCCTATTCCTCAAAACTTTGGCCTGTCTCATGCTACCCCCTCCATCTAGAAGAACACTGTCCATCTTTGCTTGAAGAATAAGTCCATGCCTCTTCTCCAATGGTCATTAAACGAACACCAATCTAGCACTCACTGTGCGCTTACCCCTGTCCTAGCACTTTATGGGCCCACTTCATCTTTGCACGAATCCTGAGAGGTAGGTGCAATTATAGAATTCTGAATAGAAGGAGGCAGAGGCAGCAAGAGATAACCCAGCCTGCTCAAGGAGGACACAGCAAGACCAAGGTTCACGCCCGTGGTCCAACGCCAGCACCTATGTGCTTAATGCCGACGCCTGGTGCCTCTATTAAAACCTGAATATCCTACCTCCAGCTCAAATTTCTCCCTCCTAAATCCCCTAGCCTTCTAGTGGTATCTCTCTATGGCTGTTCCATTTTCTACCCAGCTTTTCAGATGTTTATAGGTATTTCCTCTTTCCTGGTAGATGGCAACCTCCTCGAGCATGGAGCCCATGTCTGATTCAACTTTGGCTCACCCCCAAGGCCTGCACAGGCTTCATGGGGACCTGTCAGTATTTGTGGATGGAAGGAAGCAAACAAGGAAGGGAAAAGGAATCTACTCAGTTAAGGGATCCCTTGATCAGTGAGAAAACTCTTCTTTGCTTCTATCCCTGTGTGGCTGCAATATTTGTGTTCATTTTGTTGTTGTAGGAACAATTTTAGCTGCTATACTAAAGATGGCAGCCAGACCCAAAAATAAGACTTGTGTCCTGTGTACCTAGGAGGCAATAGCAGTCAAGGTCCAAGTTACAAGAGCCACTGGTAATGACAGTGGTGACAACAGCAGCAATAAAAACAACAAGAACTAATATCAATCATTGACTACCAGGGCTAGGCACCCGGCATCCAGTATTTGCCATCTTTCCAGTAACCCTGCAAGAAGTTGTATCATTCTTATCTCATAGTTGGGAATTGAGATTCAGAAAGGCTAAGTCATTTGGACAAGGTCACATGCTGGTAAAACACCACATGGAGGTGTGAACTCTGTTCTGCTCTGCTTGGGGTGGGGCTGGGCTCCATCCACTGCACAGCAGAGACATCAGTCCTGTAGAGGCTCAAGAGCAAGTCACCTGTGTCCATTTAGCCACCCCTTTTGGACTCTCTCTGTGGTTCACCCTTTTAGGTGAAAAGCCACCTTCACACACACATAGTTCTTCCAAGAAATAAGATGAACAGTGACCTATTTTCACATTGTTCAGAGTCCTTAATTGCTAAGAGCAGACAGGATGGAGGTCACAAAAATGTACCATGAGAGCTCTAAGAAGGTGGTGCAGATAGAGGTGGGGCCCAAGAGATGGCGCCGGACAGATCTACTTACAGTCAAAGAGGCAGAGAGAATCTTGTTGAGGAGGATAAATCACTTTTACTTAAGTGATTTATTTAAGTGATTAACTTTTATATAAAAGTTGTCTTAGTTGGGCCACAACAAACACTCAGTGCATTCACAACATTACCACAAGAACATTTTAGTGGTCTGGGGTGTAAACAAGAGATTTTTCTTTACATAGGAAAAGCAGCATTTCTCACCCTGCAAGGGCGGGGGCAGAAGGGAATCCCTCAAAATGCAGCGCATACTTAAACATGATTCAGCTCTGATTCATCAAATCTGGAATATTATTCTATTCACTCTAGGATTCTTGGTGCAAAGTGCTCCCGAAATACCGGCAAAGTCATCTTTGCATGCTCCTAAATGATAAGACCACTTCCTCTAAGATGTTCTGATGCTCATAATATATTTAAGATCAACTTTTCTGGGAATGAGAGAAAAGTGGTGCAGAAATACTAATTGCTGCTAAGGGCCTACTTTAAAAAACTACCACATTAACAGTGGACTAAATAAGAATCTAAAGATAAATGCCCCCATTAAGTGTTCTTTGTTGGCTTGTTTCAGCCAAACTTGACACATTTGCTACTCATTTCTAGTCATGGTGATGTCAAGTCTCATCTTTTCCTTTCAGGGAATGTTCCATGGACAGCACGTGTTCTGGAGGGGGTTTTTGAGGAGAATGCAGCAAACTTCCCTTCTCTAAGGTACTCGGAGTGGGGGGTATGTGGATTATTTAACAGTTCCTTGGCTAAGTCCCTATAATGAATAGAACATCAGGAAGAAGACATGGGAGCTGCGTTTGGGGACCTTCACAGTAATCAGCTTCTAGCAGAGATCCAGGCGGTAGCCGCAGACTCAGCAGCAGCACTTCTCAATTTACATTAGAAGTAGACAGAACCTGGCAGCCTAATCTAAATTCCCTCTGCTGTTGTCTTGAACACTGATTCTGGCTCTTCCTTCTTTCTGCATCTCTCCCTGCATGAGTCCTTCCCTGCCTGGCAGCATGACACCTAGAAGAAGAAAACACACTGTGCAGGGTCTGGCTCTGTCACTTCCCAGCTCTGTGACCCAGGGTAAATCATTTAACCTCTCTTGCTTCTGTCTTGTCACCTGTAAAATGGGGATGGCAATAATAATCTCTATCTCATAGGGATTTTAGGGAGCAAACGTGAAGGGAGATGACACTACCAGATTACCATAGACATATTAGTTATTATTATTATTTATTACTTTGTCCTTCCTATAGTCTTCCTTTTGCTTTCTTTCAACAAATGACTATTGAATATCTGCTAGAGGCAGGACTCTACACTGGGAGTTAAATGAATTTCAGATATGTCCTGGCCTTCCAAAAAAGGAACCAAAGTAAATAGCCATAGTAGGAAAAAAATCACTGGTCTGGGGCTTGGGGGAGCTGGACTCTGGCCCCAGCACTGTCACTGACCTCTTTGTGACCTTCTCACCAGTAAATGCAAACACACTTGTAGGCATCTTGACTTTAATAAGCAATAGCATGTGGCCAGGCCCCACAGGCCATGCACAGGAAGTGCCACAAAAACTCCACAGGGAAGAAATCGTTTCCAGTAGGGCCAGTCACAGAAGGCACCACAGGCTCGGAGTTTGAGCTCGGCCCTGAGGAAGGTCAGAGACAGTAGATGGACAACAGGGGAGACCTTTCAAGTGAAGGAGGATCATGTGCTAAGAATTAAGAAGTAATTTAATTCTTAAAAGTATTAATTCTTTAAAAAAGTAGTAACTTAATTCTTAAAAGTATTAAGTAGTAACTGAGCTTTTCAGCTACAGCTGAGAACTGGTTTGGGGAAAGCAGAAGGCATAAAAAAAAATAATAATAAAGTCAGCTTGAGGGGAGGGGCTCGTGTGCACTTAAACAATTGGCAGTTTTTGATGTGGAAATTGTATCAGGGTGGCAGGGGGAGATATGCATGGTGGAGGCCTGAGGAAGCCAGAAGAAGGGAGAACAGTTGGAAGACAACTGCAAAGGGAGGCTTGCAGGCCCCGAGTGTGAGGGCCAGGGCAGGGAGGGAGGTGGCCCCCACCATGGGACAGCTGGCCGGTCTGGGCCATCTCTTACCCTTCCCATAGCCCCAGTTCTCTCAATTTAACTAGAGGATAATATAGGCAAGTGTAAGCACAGTGCCTGCGTGTGGCATGGACTCAGTAAACATTACCTGGAAAACAAAGTAATGGAAGTGAGAAAGGTTGTAGGTGCAAGAATCACTATTCACCTGCAAGTCAGTTCTTGTGAAATAAACCCCTGATTTCGTCAAGAGGCAAGGGCAGAGACCTTCCCCAAGTCCCCAGCCCTGCGAGGTGGGGAGAAGAGGAGAGAGGGTGATCCAGGAGAACCACAGGATGCAGGGAAGGCACTCTTCTATCACAGTGACCTGGCTAACCACACTGCTGTCCCCTGCGGCCTTCGCTGTCTTCTACAAAGTATAGATGAGAGAGAGCACAGCCAATGTCCTCCCCGGATGCATGTGGGTTCCTGAGGAAAAGAAGAGAGGTTCTACCCTCGGAATCTCAGCCTAAAGTTGCCAACTGTGCCCATCATTGATATTATTGACCCTATTAAAAAACAGGAAGCATTATCACTTCCACTGTCAAAATGAGGAAATTAGGCCGAGGTCACTTAGCTAGCTGGGAACAGCTGAACCCAGAGCTCAGGACTTCATCCTGGACTTGAAAGGCTGTTCCTTTCCCACCTGTCTCTTGGGGGCTGTTTTCACCCCAATCAGCCTTCACAAACCGATCTAAAACCACAGTGCAAAATGCAAGAGCGTGAAATTGGAAATAAAACAGGTGCTTCTACATCTATTTAAATCCCATTTATTTTTAATAACTACTGAAGTTAGGCTTTGCATGAAAGGTGAGAAGTTGGTTTAAATCTTGATTTATCTCTTGGTTGACTAGTAAAATATTGTTATTCTGTGCAAGTGATCCATTGCAAATGTCACACTTACATAGATCTTCTTAAAACGAAGTGAACATCTCCTGGGTAATTTCTTCCAGGGTCTTCAGAAAGTGTAATTTGCCAGATTTTTGCTGGTATGTTCCAGTTCTTCAGCATGTGGGGGTACATGTGTGTCTGTAGACAGCTACAGGGTTAATGCTTACTCTGTCAATCATATTTAAATTCTCATCTAAAGTGGAAATCATTTGTCCTTTTAATTAAGTGTCTCTGGCAATATATGCTCTTTACAAACTGAAAGCATCTGGCTCAGAATGGGGGCTAATGCAATCACCATAAAAATAGTAATAACACAAATTGGTTAGCAGGAGAGTCTCCAATATGAGCAAAAACAATGTCAATAAGCCCACCAGAATGCTTAAGTACATGAGAATACCAGGCCATCGATCAAGGTGCTCATATAGGCATTGTTTTAATGAAATCCACAAAGCTTTGCTGTCTCTAGTACTTCCCGTGGGTCCCCCCTTCTACGGAATGTAGGGATCCCCTCTTCATCTCAGAGTCCCATAACAAGGCTCCTGGGGTTTCCCACAATCGCCTGCTTCTTCTTAGGCCTTATTACATAGCAGGAGTGACCCCTAACTGTCAGTCTTGCTTAGACATGGATGGCTTTGAGTCTCTCATCAGACTTAATCTAAGACCCCCTAAAAGTCTCTCTTTTATGAGGTTTTACCTGAACTATACAACAGTGGAAGCAATTTGTCTCTTAAACTTATTCCCGGAGCTTCAGAGATACACGATGCCTAGTTGTATCTCCTTATTACCAGAGGAGAAAATCCTCCTGTTTTTAAAAGTATGGAAAACAAGATTTCAAGTTGAAATAACAATTCTTCAAAAATGTGAAATATCAGGATTTCAATTTGTTCAGAGTTTAGCCAGCACATTTTTGGATATTCTAGGCCCAGAAAATCCTCAGAAATCAGGGTTCATTATGTAGGGTCAGAGAGATGGAGATGGATGATCATCAACCAAGAATTAATAAGGATTGAGGAAATCCAAGCAATTTCACCTGGAGGTCTCTGTGGTCATCCATCTTTTCCGCCATCTGCTTCAAATTTGGACCTCTGCCCTGAGAGGGAAAAGACAATTCCATCCATCTTAGAAGTCCACTCAGGTGAAATGCCATTAAAGTGTGTTATTGTCCAGAACTGCAGAAAGAAACATTACTTTTCCAGTTAATCTGGCAGGCATCAGTTGTTCCCCATTAACTTGAGAGAAGCATCTGGTTTATGCTCTAGAATAAAATACCTCACAATCTATCAAAATTAAACCCTTAAGAGCGATCAGTGCAACAGAGGACAGTCTCTTGTTTGTTGGAGGGAGGCAGACTCCTACTTTCCCACCAAGTTCATATTCTGGAATACTTATCTTTGGGATCTCCATTTCCTGGGTGAATAGAAACCCAATATTCATACCTGTTTTGTAATTTTAAGCATTCCACGTTAGCATAAGTTAAAGCACATACATAAAGCTCTGTAGTTAAAGACAATAACCACCTCACTATAAAACCTTCCTGAGGGTTCTCAAATGCCTCTGTTAACATGTCCTAGTATCTACAGGCCTTCTGCTGGTTTTCCTACACTTGTTTGGACTCCAGTGTGGTCTAGACACAGCACAGAGATAGAAGAAGTTCTTTCCATAATGTTTTTCGATGAAAGAGAAAAGAAAATTGCCCTAAACACATTGGGTTGTAGGCACTTCAAGTAAGATTTATTTCACTACATCCCGATCTCACTTCAGGATAAACAGGTATATTCCTGAACTATCTAATAATCTAATACAAGTCACATTTTTATAAATCAAAGCTTATTATTTAAAGAAATTCTCCCCTCCTTCCCTCTCTCCCTACCTCTGGGCAGAGGTGGCTGGGTGGGCAGCAAGGGTCCACAGAAACCAACATATTTCAAATCCTTTTAAGTTAATTCATGGAACAAGTACTTTAAATATCCTGTTCAACTCAAGTGGGGTTCTCCCTTATTTATTTCAGCGTTCCTTGAACTAAACTATACTGTTTAGGGAGAGAGGAGGAGATAGAGACAAAAAAGGAGGTGGAAGAGAGGCAGGGAGGGAGAAGGGGAACAGGAGGAAAGAGAGAAAGTAATGAAAGCAAGAGTGGTAGCAAAGCCTCTATCCAAGCTCTGTCCACTAGCGCCGGTCCTTGAGGCCTTTGCGAAGAAAGGCGCAGGCCTGCTCTGTTCTCTGCCTGGCACAGGTCTCTGTGCCAAAATTGAACCTGCACAGTATGAGCACCTTGGCAAGCTTAATGGACATGTATATTTTACACAGTACCCAGCTGCTACAAAAGAAACTCTAATCCAATCTGATTGGGTTGACAGTATGATCTTAAAAGAAAAAACTTGGTGAAAGCATGGAATCATAAAAATGATAATCTCATCTCAAACATTTTATGCACACAGGCTATTGAAATAGATATGTACACTCGTTGACAAATTTGGTACAGAGGCAATGCCTTGTCTTTGAAGATGGGTCCACTATTTGGAATTCTCAATTGTCCTTCCTTCCATAAACCAGGAAATCTACTATGATTTTTTCAGGTTCCATTTCTTTAAAGAAGAGAACAAAGTCTAAAGGCAGCTGAAAAGCAATTTGACTGTAGAACCTGGCTAGAATTTTAAAACTTGTCCCCAGTCTTTTAGAGTTATCTTATTTATACTTAATTTGGTCACAATTCTATTTTCTTTCTTTCTTTCTTTCTTTTTTTTTGGTAAATTCATCATTAAGATGCCTTTTCAAGAACAGTGTAGCTTTTACATAAACAACTCTCCTTTTCATATTTGTATTTCATCTCTTTAAGAACACTTAAGTGTGTAAAACAGAAGTACAACTGGCACATGGGTTTGGGAACAAACAACTCTCAACAGGCTTCCAACTGACCTGATGGAAGGGGTGTGAGGACCCTAGAAAACAGCTGACTGGGCAGGAAACTCCAGACACGTGCTGCATGTGCCAGCGGAGGGGGCACAGCTTGAGTGGTGAGTAGGTTTAATGCATTTCTCTGTACCTCATCTGAAGCTCAACCAAAGAAATAGCTAGTGATCTATTCCAATGCTGGAAGAGAAACACTTGACCAGGCTGGACCAAGGGAGGGATATGTGTTGGTCTGTAACCTGCTGCCTCTTCCAAGGCTTTGAAGAGTGATTTAGTCTGCTCAGTTTTTATTGCAAGGACTATTGTAGAAACCTCCTGAGTTGCAGTAGGTCCTACATCTGCTGTAAACACAACAGAAAGACAAAGCAGTTCTGCTTGTGGTTAAAAAGAGAATAAACTAAAAGGCAGAAGATACATTATATTTAGTATGTATTATAGAAATATATACTTACCAAAAATGCTATACATGTATGAATACATCATTTAAATATAAGTATATATACTTATATATAATAAATACATTTAGAAATATGCATTTCTATTTATTATGTATAATATACATTCTACCTTTTCACTAAGTGTGTTAAGTATATATATGCCTATACACACTCACATTTACACTTCATGAGGTATGGAAGTTGACAATGTATTTTAAGATTCTTTGACTAAAAATTTGAAACTGTGATATTCCAGCTGGTTTGAAAAGTTGGCTTACTTGTCTTGGCTCTGTATTTCAGACCTCAGTCCATCATTTTCTCTGTCACTGCAACTATAGGGTTTGGATAAAAATATTCTGGATGAAAAAAATCTGTGGCTGAATCCAGTCTCAGTGTCAAAAAGTGAAAGTCCGTATTGTACACAGTGGCTAATTCCACTCTGAAACACTTGCAAGGGGATGGTATATTTAAAGTCTTTTCTTTAGCTCTTGAGTTTTATTTATTTATGATTTATTATTTACATCCTGCCTACTTCCACGAAGGATTTGAGGCAGCTTAGCTCTTCAGCTAAGCCCATTCTTAATCGGTTCAGTCACTTCTCCCTCATCCTGTGACTTCCAACTTCAATGGAGTAGTTTTCCCAGTGTGATCAATTAACTCGGACTCCTGTGGAGCCAGTCCTCCACTGAGCAACAAAAGCAGAGCATTCAAGTCTGTGACCTTTGCTTTGCTGCCCAGCATAGAGAGTCACCCGCAAGCACAGGAAACACTGGCAGAACTTCCCCGAGCTCCCCTCTTGTGTTCAAGTCCTCTTCTGTGGATGACTCGGGGTGTGAGACCCACAGGGCTCTTAGCAGCTCCGCACTCTGTGAGCTGAACTGTCATCACAGTTGTGGGGGGTGGGGCCTCACTAAGTATCCCATCCAGTAGGGGTCTCCACCAATATGTTCAATAATTGTACACCCTTTGGTGTGAAACAAGGAAAGGGCAGAGCCTCAACCTCTGCTCCCATGGATCTCCACCCCTGTAGAGTACCTGACTACACGGACCAAAGCACCCTTATTTCCATCTACCATTGCTCTCTCTGTGCTGAATGGGCCATCTTAGTGAAGAAAACACCAGTCAGCCACAGGCTTGCAGAACCACAGAGTGAAAGCTGCCACAAAGAGCTGCAGCAGAAGCTCCCCAGCACCCTTGTACTTGAGAGTTGTTCCTCTGCCCAATCTCACCACCTTCTCTGGCTCCAACCTCATGCTCTGGGCTTTTCCTGGTGGGAATGGCAGCTGCTGATCCCATTGCCTGACACTTTTTCCAGATAGTGGATAAAGTATTACATTCAATCTTACACTCCTGTTAGCACTCCTGGTGATTCTGCTCTGTGAGAGGATACTCAGCCTTCAGCACAGGAACATAGCTGTCAACATAAGGGACCGTCTCATACAGAACAGAGATGCCTTTGGGCCATCTGAAAATATTTTTCCATTAGTGGGGACAAATCTGGAGTAAGTCGTCCACACTTTTCCACCACACCTTTTGCAACCAATAGCAGACATCTGGAAACAGCTGGCTGAATCTCTGGACACCATCTGTGGCCATGGAATACAATGAAGCTAATGTACACACAAGAGACCCACAATGGTCAATTCACTAATGTCAGCACAGAGACACAGACCTGAAGGCTGGCCTGAGGAGGAAGGGAGCCATCTTCACAAAAAAAGGAGTGTCTGGACTAAGTTGCCCCAAGGATCAATCTCAGTGGTCTGCTGTTAGCAGTCAGTCAGAATTCTTTTCTAACCATCAAGCAAACCAAATCACACAAAATATGGCAGACTTTTGAACTTAGGAATAACACAGGCATCAAATAAATCCCTAAGAATCCATGATATGAATCAAGGAGTAGATATGAAAGAGACTTTTTATTCCATATTATTTTAATCTACTATATCAGGACAAGAAAATGTGTATTTATCCTAGATAAATACACAAATGTACATAGACCAAGAGATAGGTTCTGAATCACACTTTTCTATTTATAGCTCATTTCGAAATGCACCCCATGTACAGTATCATCACTGCAATTTGCATGACAGATGAGGAAACTGAGATGCAAAAAAAGTGATATGCCTAGAACTCCAGTATTTTGACTTAAATCAACTCTACCTCTCAATCTACCATATTCCCACAATTTATTAGAAAGGAACTTGCTGATCGAGTTCATAGGGGAAAAGACCCTTCAGACAACTAAAAAGATATCTGAATAGTGTGTAATTGATCAGTTTCCCTGAGCAATCAATGTCTGCCCACAGAAATTCAGATTTTAATAGTCAAATAATTCTGCAGCTAAAAGGGCCGGAGGCATACGCTTGAATTTCAAGTCTAATGTGAGCCACTGAAAAATCACTGGTGAAAAATTGTACCTGGATCTCATCTAACTAAATGGCAATGTCAGGGTGGACTTGTCTTCTAGGCAGAACTGCTGCAGACCTGGACAGTCACAGGCCCTGGGGCTCCTGCCCCCACAAACTTTCTAGGGCCACCATCCCCTGCCCCTCGCCAGCATTGCAAAGAATTTTCTCCCGCATTTGCAAACAGAAGGAACTTTATTAGCAAAATTATATTTGCTATATATAATTGATGGGACAAATGTACCTCCTCCAGGGAAGTAGATGGTCAACTGCCAACTGCCTGGGTTTATGTCCCCAGCACATTGTTTCCTGTCTAGCTTCTTAGTGGAGTCTTGTTTTCCCCCATGACAATATGGGTAAAGTAAAAACAAAGTCTATTTCCCATGTTTCTATGAGGATAAAATAGGGTGATTTGAGAATACAGCACCATAAGAACATAGCAGTGTACAAAGAGGCATTTAGGGTATCACTTAAGTCTTGGAAATTAGATTTGCAGGGACCCTGGGACAAAGGAGTGAGACTAACCAGGGACTGCTAGAGGGCCTGGCTCACTTCTCCATTTCTTCACAGCCTCCCGCACCCCCCAAGCCCAGGGATGACACCAGGCCACCTAAGTTCTGCCACAGTGTGTTGTTATGCAGAGAAGTCCCAGGTGAGTCTGCAGCACAGGTTGCTTCCAAACTCAATTTCCAGAGTTCAGAGTCAGCCAGCATGTTAACAGCTAGGCGCCCTGACCTTTGGTTTGTTTGTTTTTAGGTTTTATGTTCTACTTCATGATTACTACCACATGCACTCCCCCCAACAAAAGGTTATAGAAGAGGGCACATTCATCCATCTTTGTTTTCCCAAAGCACCAAATAGAGCATCCCCCCAAAAATGTTTGCTTTAGAATGAAAACAGGGACAGAGATTCGTCAGTTGATTATTTATGGTCCTGGTAAAGGAAGGCTTGTGAAAGAGTCACACATCATTTCCCACCCCCCACACACATCCAAAAAAAGACCCATACAAAATTAAAACAAAACAAAACCTGATAAAAAATGGATGCCATCAGGGGAGATGGTGGCTCTCTCAAGAACTGCAAGACTGAGTTCCAAACCTGATGCACCTCAAATGCATCACAGATCCCTGGACATTCTGGACATTGATTCCCTCAGTCCTGCAGCAGCTGGGCACAGCTCCAGGTAGATGGGTGACCCCAGTAAATGGAACAAACGTTAGTACTTTCTCTGCAGGCCTGATGTATAAGGGGCTGAGGGCAACAGCCACAGCACTGTGGAACTGCAATCCCAAACTCCTCCTTCCTATATTACAGAGAGCCAGAGATAAAATGGACTCCTGGTTCCCAAATTTCATTTGCTTCCTTGCCCAGTTTCTAACTCAAGACCTTGAGCCCTCCCAAGAACCCTGTGAGCAAGGCATCCCTAACTCATGGGTACATAAACTGAGCCTCCCAGAATCACGCAGCCAGCCTGAGGTGGCCCTGCTCCAAGCACCCAAATGGCCTGACTTTGCTCTTCCTCTACCCCGCTGGTGTGTAGGACATGCCTGGCCAGGGCTGTGTCTGATTCCTTGGTCAGATTCCTAACAAATGACAACAGTAAGAAATGAGTATGACAATTGAAAGTGAAAGGTAAGAACATTCCCATGGGGAGCTTGGAGAAAGGAATCATCAAGAAAGGCTGTGCTTAAAGAGATGGAAAGAACAGAGCAGTGAGGAAACACCTGTAATACATATACTGATAGTATTACTTACAGGAAGAAAATTTTAGCTGATGATGTTTCAGTTACTCATTAAACTACAGATAGGGGGTAAGTGGATTCATTTGCCTCAGTTGTTAATGTACCTGGAATACTTCACCATAAACTATTTTAGTGGCCAATATTAATTGTAATTTATGACTGTACGTTAAGTAAGGAAATTGAAAAATGATCACACACAGGTGTTGACACCGCTATAGATTAGATGGAATGCTGCATTCCTGTAAAAGGCATCCTCAATACCAGTCAATTTGGCATTGACTTCCACTGGAAAACAGTTGTTTCTCAAAGGGATCGTATGGAAGACTGTCCTTTATGCAGAGAGAGTATTCCTCCTATTTCTGGTGTTGAAATAGCTTTTATGAAAGGACTACAACATTATGTGGCAATTTTACTACTACTGTTTTAAAATGTATTTATGTATTAGCAATTATGTATTAGCAATTATCTCAAGGGACCCCTGGCTTTATTTCTACCTTGTTCTTATTCTCTATTCTTTTCTAGTTTGTCCAGTTTCTGATCCAGTAGTTTTAGTTACCATCTCTGGGCCCAATATGTTTCTTTTTTCTTTCTTTTGTTTTTCTTTTTCTTTTAAATGTCCTATGTACAAGAGAAATCCAAATGCATACCCTCCTTGATTTAATAAGTAGCTATTTCCCATACCATAATATTTGAATAAGTATCAATCATAGTTTTCATTTTTTGTGTTTTCTTAACTGTAATTATTACATGTGTGATTTGGTCAGCAACAGAGACGCTATTGTTGTTTTTAACATTCATACTTCTCAAGACAAAAGCTGACAATCCTATGTTGAATGCTCTTCAATTAACAAAAGAAATTGTTGTTGGATCATAAAAGTAAAGGCTCACTGGCCTAGGAGTTGGCCTCCTGGGTTTTGCCTGACTTCAACCACAGAAAGAATTTAAAAAACAAAGAGACCATCCCAGTGAGCTGAAATTTAGTACCCAGTGCTGCTATCTCCCCTGCTAAGCTCTTATCTGACTTCCAGTTATTCCCGTAGTCTCCAGTGGCTGCTCCCAGTAGGAATTCCCTAGCCTTCCTGGCCAAACTGACATGCTGGGCAGAGTTCAGGACACAGCTTTAAATGTGGTTTCCTGACTAACAGGGAGACTCCAGATAGGCAGGAAGGAGTACACAGTTGAATATTTTATGTCATAGTCATCTACCGGTTCTTAGGAATGAATACATCAACAGAAAGAACCGGAAGCAAAATATCATTCCTGAGAAAACCCCCCAACAACCCAGAGAGACTCCTGCCACATCATCTATTATGTCTTCTTTTAACAAGAAAGCAACAAACTTAAGATTCAGTCTAAAATACATCCAAGACAAACAGTATTTGAGAAGGCTAATGGTGACTAAGACATGAAGGCTAAAAGTATCACACATGTGACCTCGTGGCTATGAAAGAGGGTGGTTGGATGAGAACTCCCAAATGGGAGTCATGAGAGGGGGTAGTTGACTAGTTTCTATCACTACTTTAGAATCTCTGGGGAAATCATTCTCAGGTCTTCTACTTCCCACCTGTAAAACATGATGGCTGATCACTGTAAATCTTAAAATTCTCTGACTATCTATTATCTGAAGAAATGAGCAAGCTACCTTCAAGTGTCAAGGAGAATGGTGAGCAATAATACTGAAATAAGTCCTTGAGAGCAAAGCAGAAAGTTCCTCAGGGGTCTCTAGGTGCTGGTGAGACACTGATGAAAGGTGAGCAGATGGAACCAAACCCCGTAAGGTCTCCAGCGGGGTTCTCCCCAGAGTAAGCTTCCTGGCAGAGCACAGAAATGAAGAAATGGGCCTAGGTTGTTGATAACAAGGCAAAGAAGAGAAAAGGAAGAAAACAGGAAGAGAAGAAACAAAGAGAAGGCAAAGGCCTAAAACAATAGGCTCCTGCGAATTTCAAGGAGCACACAAGAGAGCATGAATGAGCACAACTGTGTAGGAGGGTCAGAGGGTACAAGAGAGGCCCAGGCAGAACGAAGGGAAGCATGAATAGAGGGGGAGGGAAGAGAAAGAGCAAAGAAGGAAGGAAAAAAAGAGAATCAGGACCTTCACCTTTCACTTTGACTAGAAACAGAATTTCCCAACACTCCCACCATTCATTCATAAAAAAAAAAAAAAGACGTCGCCAGCTGTGAGGTCCTGTGGCATGCTGCCAGATTAAACAGAACAGCCATGCTCGCCAAGAGAACAATATAAAACCATCTTCCATAATATAGTGAACACAGAGGCAGCCCATCCATATACAGAGGGGGGGGGGGGAACCTTCACAAAAGGTCCATAACCTTTCAAAAAAAAAAAAAAAAAAAGATTTTGGGCTAAGCTATCTAGAAATAGAACATTTTGATTACAAAATAAAAACTAGGTCAATAAGATAATGGACGTGATTTAAATGAAAATCACAGTATTTGTAATGAGCTAAAAATGGTATCAATATTACTGCAGAGAAGGAATATAATTAAATGTATTTTTAAACAGCAGCTCCCCGCCCTGCTCAGCCACCAGTACTCCTGCACCTCATCGGAGAGGAATGTGCTGGCATGCCACAAGTGGGTCTGAAGAATGCAGAGTTTCCGTACTACTTCAGAAGATCCCAAATGACACTACTTAGCTACATTCTTTCACTTGTAGATCACTGGTATTCATTTATAAGCAAAGAAATGGAAAGGCTTGGGATCTGACCATTTCATTCTTTTACCATTTTTACTATCTGGCCCGGAAGCAGGCAGGTGCAGGCAGAACTGCCATAGTTTTCTCTGGTCACTGGAACAAGCAGAATGTCAGAGTGTGTGTGAGGTGGATACAGATCCTAAAGGATTAGCACAGACTAGGAATTAAGAGAAAGGTGAAAGTGTAAATCTCTGGTTTTCTTTCTGTAAGGGGTGGCGTAGCCTCATGGAAAAGTCTTGACTCTTTTTGTTCTCTATGGAAGTAGGTTTACAACACTGTATATGATTGGGGAGAACAGTTCCACACCTTCTCAGATGTATGTCCCCATACCTCATCCAACATCCAAGGAGAACTCTTAACTTGATTGTAGTTTATCTTCTAAAACCACACATGGAAAAAGGAGGCAAAGAAGAGCAAGATGAATTAGATGTAAGGACCAATGCTCTGGGTAGTGAACAGGATCACTAACGTGGACACCCAACAGTTCCTGTGGCATACAAGTGTCTATCTAAGTGTCTATATAAGATCCAAGGCCTAGGATGCTGTTTATAAGGAAATATTAATGACCTTTCCAAAGGACATCTTTGGAGGTCAAACAAGGGTTATTATTTTTTTTAATTTATTTATTTATACAAGTACTGGGGTACAGGCCAGAGGTGCGAGAGGGTGAGAGATTTCATCAGAGACAGCAGGGAGCAGAACAGGCAGACGGACTGAAGACACTGCAGGAGAGGTCTGCTGCACCATGTGGGTTTCTCCCTGGCCAGCCAGGGATTGAACCTGTGCTGCAGAAGGCTGAGGACAGCTTCACAGTGCTGCGCTCAACCTACTGCGCCACTGGGGAAGCCCACTCAAACAAGGATTAAACAGGATTACTCCATGATGAATATATAGACAGTTTCCAAGTTACGATGGTCCAACTTAAAATTTTTTAACTTTGTGCGGGTGCAAAAGCAATAGATGATACAATGGAAACCATACTTTTCATCTTTTTCTGGCTAATGATACATGGTGGAATACTCTCACATGGTACTAGGCGATGGCAGTGAGCAGACATGATGGTGGGGGTAAACCAAAAATACGTTCAGATTTTCAGTTTTCACCTTTGGTACAGAATTAAATTTATTACATGAGAATTCAACTACATTATAATATTCAACATTATTATGAAAGAGGCTTTGTGTTATATGATTTTGC